ACCCCCTCCACCCTTTCCTATTTACATAGACTTTGTTTCCATTATTTTTCTTTTCTCATAATTTTTCCTTTCCCTTTTTTCCTTTCCCCTTCCCCTCCCATCACCCCTACCCCTTTAGACCTTTTCTTCCTATTCAAATTATCAATTGTACTTTTTAATCATTGTGGAAATCAGTATGGAGAAACCTCAAAGAACTAGGGATAGAGGTCCCATTTGACCCAGCTATTCCCCTGATGGGAATCTTCCCAAAAGAATTAAAAGAGTCATACCACAGTGATATATATGCACCCATGTTTATAGCGGCACAGTTTGTAATAGCTAAAACTTGGAAACAACCCAAGTGCCCATCAACTGGAAACTGGATAAAGAAGATGTGCTTTAATTTAAATTTTTTAATGGATATAGACTTTACCTTTCAAAAAACTAACTTCTCAATTAAAAATACCCATTAAAAATAAAACTCCATAACTTTTATTATTTCAAAATGATAATTACACTAAGAAACTAATTAACAAACAAATTAAAATGTAAAATAATGTCATAAAATTATTGCATATAATTCTATTCTTCCAATTACCCTTTTAAAAATATTATCTCTTCTTGTTGGATTGATCCCTTAAGTAATATGTACTGACCTTCTTTGTCCCTTTTAATCAGTTTTACCTTAAAGTTTACCACACATAAGATTAAAACTGCTACCCCTGCTTGTTTCCTGTAACTAGATGCCTAGAATACTGTTTTCTATTCTTTAATTTGTAGTCTATGAATATCTTTTTGGATTAGATGGGTTTCTTGAATACAACAGAATGTTCAATTCTGTTTTTTGATCCAGTCTGCAAATCTGTGTCTTTTAATTAGAGAGTTGATGCCATTAACGTTGAGAGATATTACTGAGATGTTTGATTATTTCCTATCATTGCCTTCTTTCTCTGTTGGTGATGCCTTTTCGTTTTCCTGTTATTTTTTGTTGTTGTTTATCCATCGACCTACTTGGTGCTTTCATTTCACCTGGGATTATAGTTGTATCAGTTTTATTTTTTTCATCTGGAATATTCTTGAGTATTTTCTAGAGTGCTGGTTTAGCACTCACATGTCTTTTGAACTGGTCTCTTTCATGGGAAGACCTTATTTCTCCATCTACTTTGAAGAATAGCTTTGTTGGATAATTTAATCTGGGTTGGAAGTTATTTGCTTTTAGGATTTGGAATACTTCACTCCAAGTTCTTTTGACCTTTAAGATTTTTCCTGAGAAGTCAGCTGTAATTCTCATTGGTTTACCTCCATATGTGATTTTTTGTTTTTCTGTAACTTCTTTTAAATTTTTGTTTTTTTATTGGATACCTGGCCATTTAGTAAAAATACATCTTGGTGAGCTTATTTTTTGTCACAGTTGTTTGATGTTTTGTAAAAGTCACTTACTTGTATTTTAAGCTCTAATACTTGGGAAATTTTCTTCTGTGATGTCTGTGAACATGTTACTAAATCCATCTGTGTTATCCTCTAGCTTTTCTCTAACACCAGTTAGCCTTAGATTGGTCTTCTTAGGGTCATCTAATCCAAGTGGATAGTCTTCTCTTGTTCTCTTATTTGTATGTGTGTGTGGTTTCTTTTAGTATTTCATCATAATTTACTATTTTGTCCTGAATTTCATACACTCTGTCTTCATACTGATCATTTCTGCAATTTGTTAATTCCATAGATTTTATTTCAAGTATTTCTGACATCTTTTTGAGGATTTAATACTCTTGCTGAATCTGTTATGTAAGTTTTGAACCATTTTGGTTAGCTTATCCAGTTTTTTTATTTATTTCCCCTGAATTCACTATGAGGATATTGAGTGATATTGCTGTGAACTGTTGCTTTATTTCCTCTTTGAATTCATCTAATTCCTTCATCATGTCTACAAACTTTTCAAAGAGGTCCACTGCCTGGTACTTGTTTTCTGCTCCTATTGTGTCACTTAGCTCTGCCTTAGGAGAGTTGAGAAACATTGGGTGTCTTCTGTTGCCTTGTTTCCCATGCTCCTATGTATATGTATATCCATTTTTGATTGTTTATGATCTCCGAGAACTGCAGATATGGTATAGGGAGAAAACTAGTTGTTATCACTACTATGTTCCTTTGGTTGTAGTACTACATTCATTGACATCTATTGCATCAAATGACGACTATAAAATGCCAAGCCCTATGAACTATTCCTGGATATCCCTCAGCCAGAGCTAAGAAGACTATAATTTTAGTGCAGACTACCAGTACATTAGCCTAAAATACTTCAGATCACTGGTTTCTACTGGATCCAGGTGGTAGTACCAAAGGCCAAAGACATTGCTAGATTAACTACCCTTTCCTTCAAGACTACTCCCATTGACAATTTCACCCTCCAGACCTGGCCTCTCTCAACCAAATTCAGGCCCTGTGAAATTCCTAGTCTAATCTCGGGTCTCCAAAGAGATCCCATTTAGCTCTTCCCTCTCCTAGCCTATCTCTTAATGTTTCATTCACCCAGTCTCTGTGGTAGAGTAACACTTCCATCCTGAAGCAAAACTGTCCAGTGGTCTCTTTTTTCAATCAGGTTCATCTGTTGGTCATCACCTCTGTTGTCCTGTGCTAATTAGACTTCAGGCGTGGGCTACTCCAGTCCATCCCAGAACTTGCTTCTGGTCAGCTCTGCAAATGGGGGTAGGTGAGAGCTGCATCCTGTCCCAGGGTCTGCTCCTCTGTAGGCTGGGTATTCAGTGGTTGGGTGGGTGGTTGAAGGCAGGCATGGAGCTGTGGGGTGTACCAAGAGCTGAGCAGCTCTCTTCCACACTCTAGTATTAACTAGCAATGCTGAAAACAAGATATGTCTCTGTTTACTGGTAGACAAAAGAGGCAGCCTAACCCCAGAACCATACTGAATGCCCTATGCTGACATCTGCACACAGTAGGAACAAGGAGCCTTGCTGTCCTTCCAATCCTGTGTAACTCAGGGCAAGCCTGGCCTCTGACCACAGTACCCAAGTCCATGTTCACCAGCTCCAACCCCTCAGCAAGACTCCCTCCAGTCTGCTCTCCAACCACTGGCTATCTCCTGAGATTGTCCTTCCCTCATCCACTTCAGGAACATGACGGTGGGAAGCCTGGCACAGAGCCAAGTGGCACTCTGGGACCCAGGTAGGAAGACTATGCCATCCCTCCAATGGTGTCTCAACCAACTCTTACTCTTCACTTCTGGCGCTGGGCACCTGGACCGTGTCACTCACCTGCTACTGTCAGTGGAAGGACTTTCCAAGAGCCATTTCCCATCCTTGCTCTGCAGATTCCAGCTGCTGTCACTCTTTTGGGTTGATGTGGCTCCATGAGGGAAAAATTTTTGCTTTCACTTTGTGTCAGACGGTGGCTGGCAAGCCGCTGACCACTGCGCAGTTTGCTGGAGGTCCTTTCTGTGCTCCACCATTTGTTCTCTTTTTTGTGTGTTTTAAATTTTTTTTTCTTTTTTGTCATATCTCTCCTTGTTCCCAGAGAACTTTCTATCACCTTGATTCTGCTCCAAGATTCCACTTTCCAGACTCTGGACTCTGGGTTCTGGAGACAAAGAGTTGCCAGCACTGATGCGCTGCCATCTTCTCCCTGGAGCTATATTTATGTGTGACAACATTTTTTTCCCATCCTTTGATGTATCCCACAAAAAGCAGCCACTTTCCACTGGTTTAAATTTTTTGTTTTGCTGTGCTTTGTTTTCTGGCCTTGATATATCAGATTTCTAAATAATATGCATATTCTATTATCTTTTCTTTCACCAATTTTAATATTTATTGCCTTCCTATTACAGCACATGAAGATTTTAAATTTTTATCACATTGCTTTGCCTCATTTTCCAGTATATTTATATAATATAACCTATATAAAATTTTAATATGTGAAAATTATAATCATTTTGACTGACTATATATTCAGTGTGTAATATACTTTTGAAAAATTATTCACAACTCATTGATGAAAAGTTCAACTAATACAAATCCTTTGCTTTTTAGTTGTTTGGTTATTGGATTTCTACATGAAACTGCACTATCTTCTACTTTTCATGCAAATCAGTCTGAAAAAATTATTTTTAATTGGAACATACTCAGGACATAAAATGAACAGAAAAAAGGAGACTGAGTGATGGGGTTTGGAATATAGTATCAAGAAAAAATTTGCAGGACACACTGTATTTTATTTCTCCCAATACCTTCCATTTAAAATCAGATGCTTTACTGATGGTTTAAATTAAACATTAAAAAATATTATTTTTAAAATGCCAATCAAAACCATTGTGATAAGTTACTTCACACCTGTTAAGATGGCTATTTTCAAAAATCAAAAGGTAACAAATGTTGATGAGGATGTGGAAAAAAAGGAACCCTTGAATACTGATGATAGAAATGCAAATTAATACAGTCACTATAGAAAAAAGTATGGAGGCTCCTCAAAATATTAAAAATCATACTACCATATGATCCAGAAGTCCCTCTTTGGGGATTTATCCAAATGATATGAAATCATTATCTCTAAAAGATATCTATACTCCATGCTTATATGCAGTATTATTCACAATAGTCAAGATATAGAAGTAACCAGTCTATCAATAGATGAATTGATAAGGAAAATATTCTATAAATACACAATGGACTATTAGTCATTCTTTAAAAAGATGGAAAAAGATGGAGGGCATGGTGGAACATCCCTATAGTCCCAGCACTCAAGAAGTGCTGAGTACTGAGGCGGTAGATCTCTGCTAGTTTGAGGCCACCCTGTGAGTTCAAGACAAGCCTGGCCTATGAATTGAGACCCTATCTCAAAAAAGCAAAACAATAAAAGGAAATTGTAGCATTTTCGACAACAGTGATGAGCCTGAAAAATATTATGTTAAGTGAAATAAGCCAGACAGAGAAATACAAATACTTCATAATCTCGCTCATTTGTAGAATCTTTTTTTTTAAAATGTCAAACTCATAGTAAGCAAGAGTAGAATAGTGGTTGCCAAGGGTTTGTTGGTGGAAGGAAAGAGATGTTGGTCAAAGGTAGCAAACTTCCAGGTGGAAGATGAATATGGTCTGGTGATCTATGATACAGCATGGAGTCCATTGTTCATCATAGATGTACTGGAAATTTGCAAAAAGAGTAGATCTCAAATATTCCCACTACAAAAAAAAAGTGGCAACTAGATGAAGTGATGAATATATTATCCATATGTTCATTGTGTTAATTATTTCATTTTACACATGTATAAAAATATCACATTGTACACCTTAAGTATACATAAATGTTGTCAATCATACCTCATAAATCTGGGGAAAATTAAGTAACTCCCCTAAGAGTTGGTTTTTATTCTTCTACACAATGGTAATTTTGGTAAGACACATTTAGAATATTCTTGATCTTTTGCTTCCTAACATGGTTTCTAATTCAAGGGGAATTATTGGGCTAAGAAACCCTAAAATCATCAAGTATGTCCATAGGTCTCATTTCATTATGAAACACCAATCTGTAACCTGGGGGTTAGACACAATTTAGAATAAATATTTTTCCACATATATTTTTAAAAACTACAAATACTACAAAAACTACAAATGGATGCACATTGAGGCGATACTTTTAAGTGAAATAAATAGGACACACATGTGTAAATACCAAATAGTTTCTCTAGTGTGAGAAACTAAAAGTATAAATAAGGACTAAAAGGTACAATAAATAATGTGAAATAGGAAGAAAAGGGACAAAGGGGAGGGGGAAGTGGGAGGGGTAGGGGAAAGGAAAGAAGGGAATGGAATTAACATGAGAAAATGAAAAAAAGGAAACAAAGTCTTTGTAAATAGGGAGGGATGGAGGGGTTGAAGGGAGGGCAAGGGAA